GTTCCAACTTAAAAAGAAAATTAACAAAAACTTTAAGGAACTATTGATATGTTTTATTTCTTAAATTACTTGATAATAATTAAGTTTTGTTTAATTATCGCACGAGTGGGTATTTTTTATTTTTTTTAATGAAACTACTAGAATTGAGTTGAACTTGCTGGTTTAGTTCAATTCTAGCAAGATTGAAATAATTCTAAACAGAATTCTAAAATGTACGCATATACGAATTTCATTCAATGAACTAATTCTAAATAGTGTTATCTAATGCGCGTATATGTTCGAGGGGTTTCCGAAACACCCACATATAGAATATGCGTGTGATAATACGGTCAAACCTTGAGAATTGTGTGATCCAAATTTTAGGTGATCCATTCAACAATGAATTACAACTCCATTTGACTACATTGACATTTAGATATACGATAATCGTAACGATGAATAACATTTACTCACAAGATTGTCATTAATATTTGACTCGAATGAATAATGCTACGCAATACAGATAGCACTTAGCACCAGTTTATTTGATGTGAGATCATTGACACAATGTTCAATAAAATAAAAGTCGTGTCAGTAAATATATTATAATCTAGATGGATACTAAACTTCAATTATGTTAAAATAGCATTACTCTACCTTATTTGATATAACTTTCAATTAAAATAAAACGAAACGAATCGGATCGGACCAAGTTGATCTCCACATTATACATCTCCAATTTCATTCGAGTATGGAAAGGAACAAAAAGAAACATCCAATTCCAACCAAGGTATTGAAAATGACATAATAATCATGTGTGATTATATTTCCTATAATAAAGTACATGAATGTATTATGCTGAACACGTGCGATTGTGTTTCAATAACTCGATTACAAATCTCTCCCTGTCAATGCACGATCCACGAAGCCAACACAACACTGGTGAAGTGATGATGGAAGAACAGAGAATCCCTAACAAGAAAAGAAAGGAGAGAAAAAAGGAAAGGATATCAATCAATTCTCTCTCCTCTTTGCTGCACTGTAAATTGTAAGCTTTGAAATTCCACTCTTTGCTGCATTCTTTGTTTTCACACATTCTCTTCTTAAAGGTTCCCTCAGAAGGAAACCAAACCCTTTCTCTCCTCTCTCTCTCTCTCCATATATATATTCTTCTCGGGATAATATATACATCGTGTTCGTGTACTTGCCTGATAATTCCCGGGAAATGGGTGAAGAATTATTCGTATTAGGACCCTCTGGCTCTGATAGAGCAGTTGAACAGGTTTTCCTCTTGCCCCCATATAGTTTACAAAATTCAATTTTTTGGTATTATTATTATTATAGTATGTAATGTAAAGTAATGTGATGATTTATTCATAGGCATTCTTTGAGCCCTTTAAAATGTGATTTTGGCTCTTTGGGAGACATAAAATTTGTCATTTTTTTTGGGTCGAATTTCATGGAGAATTCAGTTGTACTGAGGGAGAACATTTTCTTGTCTGAAAAAATAACAAAAAAAAAACCAACTTGACGACTACATGCTGATGAGGGCGTGCAATTTGTCTTGAAAAGACTAGTAAAATGTTCTAAGTTTGAATTAAATTTAATTCTCTGTTATATCTCTCTTAATTGGTGGAGAGTTTTTGTATCCTTGGTGCTTTCTCATAGTCAAAGCAGGACACGCAGAGATTTAGAGGTATATTATTCTGTATTAATGTCATAGAATTGAACTTTGGATTCTGGAATTTGTAAATATTACAGGTTCAGATCAGATTTTTTATTTTTTTTTCAGCATCAAGAGATTCAATCTGAAAATCTGAAAATTGATATGTGAGCTCTTATTGGTAAATACAGTTTGACCAGGATTTTGCATGAAATTTAATTCCGAATCGATTTTCTGCTAAGAGATTTCCCGGCCTTTTTTTTTTTCTCCCCTTTATTTTCGAGATTCACTTGATGTCTGTTACCGTGATCTTTTCCGCATTTTCGTCTCCCAGGTTTGTATAGACTTAGTCTCAATTGCTGAGCTGACAGAAGGTCGTACATAAGTTTAGTTTTTCATATTCACGTTAGAACAACCAAATTGACTATGTCATATAGTTTAAAATGACTGAGATTCATGTTTCAAGTAATCAAATTGATTTTCAAAATTATTTTTTTCTACTATTTACTGCTAGAACAGTTATTACTGTATACTTATAATAGAAATACTTTGTATTTCTTACATTATTCACTGCCTTGCACAGGCAATTGTTGCATTAAAGAAGGGTGCTCATCTTTTGAAGTATGGCAGAAGAAGGAAGCCCAAATTTTGTCCTTTCAGATTATCCACGGTATGCATTCAAAGAAATGTATAGTTGTGCTTACAAACTACTTATAATTAGGCTTGAAGCATTGCTCTTTTTTGTTTCTGAATAAAACTATGTACAAGCTTACAGTCTATCCATTTTTCCAGGTGTAGCAGAATGGTTAATTAAGTTTTGAGTACTACATTTTAGTGCCTTCGCCATTGTCTCGAAGTTTCCCCTTTTTATTTCTGTTAGATGATTGGATACTTTATCGGCTTACTACTTTCTTGACATTCTTTATGTGAGACCAACTGATATCGCCATTTGTTCTTTCAACTTCGTATGTCTTGGATGATTCATTGTGTCCAAATTTCTCAACACTTTCTTAAATGCTGGAACACTGAAACTGTGTTAAGTTGAAGGAAAGGTACAAATAACTTTCTCATGATGGATGTGTCCATCGTTGTGCTCTTGGTAAAGGAGAAATGGGAGATCGGGTAGGTTATAGTCCAATAAGGTGTTTCGAAAAGATTTACTCAAATTAGACTTAACAAAACTTCTGTAGTTTGGTTCTGTAAGTTCTGATGAAACATGTGATAGCTGTGCAAACTAATATCACTAAGAATTTGAATCTTTGGAACAACATGATATCCTTAATCAAGGAAATAACGTGATTCTTTTTTAAGCTGATGGAGAAAAGGAAACATATTCATTTATGGAAAAGTATGGTGCTAGGGAAATGAATTTCCATTAATGTCGATATTCATAATCAATATAAAAAAACAACGGAAGGAGATAGAAAATGGTAATCTACATTGCATACATTTTCTACGTTCAGCTGTAAAACAGGAAACTTGCATTATAGACTTCGATTTAAATAATTTATTGGACAAAATATTATGAGATGATACTTTTATGGAGTACATTTTCTTGTTAAAGTAAGCGTAGAGTAGTATATTATAAATAATGGAGTGTAATCAAGAAGTATCCGCATAACATGATAACTGGTATACGCAGAAATTCTCTCTAATTTGCTAACAATTCAGTGTTCCAACAACTATTAGCTGTGATTTTCTGATTTCTACATATTGGACCATGCTTCACTTCCAATTCTTGATTTTCAGGATGAAAAATTCTTGATTTGGTATTCTGGTCAGGAGGAAAGACAGCTGAGATTAAGCTCAGTCACGAATGTTGTACGTGGCCAAACCACTGTAAGTTAATGAAATTATTTTGTTTCAGCTTGTATGATGTTATATGATGTATTTTATATCCAAATGTTGCTTCTTTTTTTCTTTCTTCTTTTACAGAAACAACTTCAACCAGAGAGGGAAAGCCAGTGCCTTTCACTTGTCTATGGAAATGGTGAATGCTCCCTTGATCTGGTAATTAGAAAAAGAAGTGTCATCCATGTGTAATTAAATTTTTTTCTTGAAGTTTAAACTTTTTTCATGCATGTCTTTTATCTTTATGTAGATATTCAAGGACAAAGAGCAGGCAGAGACTTGGTTTTTGGGTTTGAGAGCCGTAACATCCAGGAGTAATCGTAATGGATTGTTGAGTACTTTGAAGAAACGAAGAGGGGCACAAAGTTGTATAAACAGTCCATCTGGTTTTATGAGAAGGAAACAGATCTTGGGACTTTTGGAGGAGAAAATTAGATCATCTCAGGTTCTTATCCCACTTACTGTTTGTTGATGGAATTATCAAGTCATGTTCACCTATCCATGAAACAATAGAATATAAAGAAATAGTTTCATTAGTTGCGCAGAATAATTTTAGTTATAAATGAGGGTTTTCCATGGATACGGCTGAGTACATTGAGAAATATTTCTTAAAAGTATTGGCAATGTTCAATTAGTAAGAGATGCAAAATGACAGAAGTAAATCGTTGATAGCTGAAGAAATTTTCAGATATTATTAAGAAAATGATAATTTGATTTCAACAGTTGCACAAAGTACTTTTTATGATAGTATTCTCAACATGCTTTGCCCATCGAAAATTATATTGAGGGCCAACTTTCTATAGACCAGGTCATGAAGTCTTAGATAATCTTTATTTCCCACTCATAGTATAAGAAGAGGAAGAAGCAAAACTGTCCTTTTTCCCTACAATTCTTCAGAAAACTTAAGAATATTATGTTATGCATTAAAATAAATCACCCGTCTACTTCATTGCAAGGAAAGTTTAGGTTTGAAATTTCTATACATGCCATTGTACTTCTCGATTATTTAATTACTTTTCCATAATATTCTTACTTTTTTTCCACCAACTCCCTTGAGTTGGAAAACAACATTTAACTCTATTTCTTCGACGATTTAGGTACACAGTTTATCTGGGAGTCCACCTCAGGCATTATCAGCTAGATGTACTTCTGATGGTTTATCATGCTCGTCTGATAGTTTTTATTCAGAATCAAGTCTATCAAGAATTCACAATACCACGGATTTCTTAGCTCCACGTTCTCCACTTCTTCAGCAAGGCCAAGAAGATCCAAATGAGCAAACAATTTGTGCCCGTTCGAAAGTGCTTAGTCTGTTCTCAACAAATCCTCTTGAGTCATCCGAATCTGGAAATCATATATTGAGGGATGTCTTAATTTGGGGGGAAGGAGCAGGAAAAGGGTGTTTGGAAGGTGGTGGAATGGAATTGGATGCTTTATTGCCTAAAGTTCTTGAATCGACCATGATGTTTGATCTCCATTCCATATCTCTGGGAAGGAAGCATGCTGCATTAGTAACCAAGCAGGGCGAAGTATTTTGCTGGGGCGAAGGAAGGAGGGGAAGACTCGGACATAAAGTTGATATTGATATTACCTGCCCAAAGATTGTTGACTCCCTTGTTGGAGTTCATGTTGATTCCGTTGCTTGTGGTGAGAATCAAACATGTGCTTTAACATCTTGGGGTGAAGTGTACACGTGGGGCGACAATTGTAGTACCGATTTAGCAGATGAACATAGTAAGAGAAGCCTTTGGCTGCCTCATAGACTTTATGGTTCTCTAGATGGTATAACTATATCTCATGTTGCTTGTGGACAATGGCATACAGCTATTGTTTCCACATCCGGGAAATTATTTACATATGGAGATGGAACATTTGGAGTCCTTGGCCATGGAAATCTTCAGAGTGTGTCTCACCCTAAGGAAGTTGAATCACTCAAGGGACTACGGGTAATGACCATGGCATGTGGATCATGGCACACAGCTGCCATAGTGGAAATCATGGTTGATCCTATCAAATTTAATAATCCAGGTGGAAAATTGTTTACATGGGGAGACGCTGATAAAGGCAGGCTCGGTCACTTTGATCAAGAGAGAAAACTCCTGCCAACTTGTATAGCAGAATTGGTGGATCATGATTTTGTTCAAGTATCTTGTGGCCAGAATCTTACAGTAGGATTAACTAGCACTGGTAAAGTTTATACAATGGGAAGTGCAGCACATGGCCAACTCGGGAATCCACAATCCAGGGACAAGTCAATAGTAGCTGTACAAGGAAAACTTGCTGACGAGTTTGTCAGGGAAATCTCATCAGGATCTTATCATATTGCTTCCTTAACATCTCAAGGAAAAGTTTACACTTGGGGAAAAGGTGAACATGGACAGTTAGGATTGGGTGATATCAAAGATCGAAATTCGCCAACTCTAGTTGAGGCCTTGAGAGGAAGACAGGTAGAACATATTACATGTGGAGCAAATTCTACAGCTGCAATTTGCTTACACAAATCAGTATCTAGTACTGACCAGTCTGTTTGCAAAGGATGCAGCATGTCTTTTGGGTTCACAAGGAAGAAACATAACTGTTACAATTGTGGTCTTTTATTCTGTCGAGCATGCACCAACAAAAAATCTATAAATGCATCCCTTGCACCAAGTAAGAACAAGCCGTTTCGAGTTTGTAATCAATGCTTTAATCAGCTTTGCAGAGCTTTAGATCCAGCTAGTCATTTCAAGATTGAAACAAACAGCCCAAGATCATTATTTATATCTGAGAAGGCATACCACAGCGAGAAAGAAGCAATGTGTCAGATGACTTCAGCAAGAAACTATTCCGATGACGGCAGTCAATGCTATGAGAGGAATAAATTGAGTAACCCCATTTCTTTGGTGAATGAGTTACCCAGATGGGGGCAAGTTTCGTGTCCTGAAGTTTTCAAGAAAAGATCTGGGGACCACATGATTACCCAAATTTATCCTTCAAGACATCAGTTATCTTCGCAGTCTCCAGTTTGCTTACCAGAGGACTCCTCTCAATTAATATCTACCGCATCCAGTTCTATGAATGTAGAGAATAACTTGTCTCAATCGGAGAAGTTCCTCATTAAAGAAATTGAAAATCTTAAAACTCAGGTACTTTACCAAAGCTTTTGTAGTCTGATTCTGTGACGAGGTTTTTATAATTGAAATCAAAGCTTAGGTGAAATATCTCTATAAATAGTCCCTCTTGTTTTATGTAAGCATGTACAGTTACACAAATTGCTTGCCTGGGAGAGATTTTCAACCTGAGTTTGCCAAAACTTCAAAAAAATACCGTATTAGTATATAAGATCCTTTTATCTCCAATATGTGCTCCAAGGAGAGAGGACAAGAATTCTAGTGACTATGATTCCAAACTATTAACTTCAGAACAAGCACCATAAGCAAACTGAGTTGCAATAATTTATCTTTTTCCCATTCTGGCTTAATTGGTGACTATTGATTAACACGTCCTTTCAAGTTTTAAGCCATGCCCTTTCTTTTTATAATACATAAGCATCACATCAACATTTGAGTTCAAGGAAGAACTAGGCAAATACATACAAATATTGCTGTATCATAACCTGAATTTTCCTAGCGATACTTATATTCTTAGAAGATGAAGATAGATGTGCGTGCAGTGTTCTAATTTAGGAATGGTCACAGACAAGATCCTAAAGCACAGACTATCTTATCTGTTCTTTGATTACATTTTCGTGAAGAAGTCTAGGACAGGGAAAGAGTGCTTGTCCACTGTTACTTGGCTGACTTGATTATTCACTACTGTAGGGTATGAACAAAAAAAGATGCATGCATAAAATGGACACATCTTTGGGTATAAAAGTTGATATGTTCTATAGGGGCGTCTAAGAACTAAATAGGAGTATGGCTAAGGCTAATTAGTAATTAACAATGTATTGCAGAACTAATTTATGGCCGATACTAAAATTTATTCTGCCTGTTATTTATGAGCTAGTATATAACTGTAGCAGCAGTCTTGAGGAATTGCCTTCATATTTGCTATTACACAATGTTCTATTATTTCCTCCTTGTTATCTTATTAAAGAATTGGAGTTTACTAATGGTTAACATTCGTCACCAAGTCTTGTGGAAAATCAATTTTTCTTACTCATCATCTCTCCTCTTGCTATAGCTAGGGTGAGCCAGAATTTAATTAGGGATGAAAATGGGGCAGGTATGGGACGGGTCGGCTATTTCCATTCCCGTCCCATCTGGTATTTTTGTCACCTTATCCCATCCTCAAACCTGGTCAAAACGGGATGGGGTCACCCCGTTTATTTTTTTTGTTTTTTATTTCTTTTATTTTTTGCTTTTATTATTATTTTTTTATATTTTTAGTTAGTAAATATTATTACTTTGTTATTTTTTAATTTGTTAAGAACAACTCTTTAAAATGGGGATAAATATTTTATTTGTTTGATAAAAAACTTAAATTTGAAATTAACTTTAAATGAGGTGAGGATTATGTTTTTTCGTACCCGCTTCAGGGCAATGACCCCTCCCCGTCAGGGGCGGAGGGGAGGGGGGTCCTGGGGGGGCTGGACCCCCCCAATTTTTTGAATTTTTTTTTTTTTAATTTTTTGGCCTCAAAATTTTTTTTTTTAATCTCCTAATCCTGTCCATTCAATTGTTTGTGAAGTTGTATTGTTTATG